CTAAACTTTGTCAGCTTTTTTTTTTGCACCCACTCACTAATCTACCACTATTTATGACCCCACTAGATTCTAAGCTCATTTGCCAGATTTTTGGCTATCTCAGGTGATTTCTACTGTCTTACAACATTGGTTAAACTGGCAGACTGCAGGTTTAACTAAAAGGACATTTTAATCCATACAATATGATAGAATGTTGAAGCATGGGCTCCAAATTGAATTTAAATAATTTTTGGTCATATGTCAGCAATTAAAGATGAAGGCCTATTTGAAAATTCATTTCAGTGCTACACTTCTTCTTGTTTCAGGTATTAAAATAATAGGGGGATGCAACTCTGAGGAAAATAGGGGCCATGGTATATTTGTTAGAAGGATCTTGATTGGTGGATTGGCAGCCAGAGATGGTAATTTTAAGAAAACTGTTTTCAGAACACCTGCAGCTTTTCAAACTTCTTTAAAGGGTTTTGAAATAAATATAAGTTAACAGTTAGGTCCCATTCCCACTGTCACCATTGTTGTACGTGGATCATACCAGCTCTGCAGGGACTCTCGCTGACTGCAAACAGCTGAACTAAATGACACGCCTCCTCTTGGCACTAAGTAAATAAAGAACAGCTTGTCATTATACATGTAAATTATGGGAGTACATTGGAAGCAGGACCTTGTGTCACATTGTCAGAATTACGATTTAGTCAGCATTCCTGATCAAAGTTGCCATTTAATCATTGATTATCTGAGTGTCGGATTATTTATGATATTAAGATGCACATGCGTGGTTTGAAAAATAATTTATTAGGAATCACCAATGACCCTGTACCATGTCTTTCACAGGCCGCCTTTGTGAAGGTGATGAGATTTTAGAAGTCAATGGGCAGTCATTTGGGAGACGAACTACAAATGAAAGGTAACTCCTAAGAGTCCTTGTACTGGGTACATTGTAAAATTTGAAATGAAAACATTCATAAGAAATATGCCAAAATCAATTATGATTATCAAAATAAAAAGTTTAGCAAAATTCAAATGTTCACATGAAAATGAAAGCAAGCACCACCAAACCAAAATATACTTTGTATAAGTGCACTGTAGCAACAAAGATTATGTCATCAATTTCAAATTTGTATGATGTATAGAAAATAGAAACAAATAGAAATTTATCATAGCAGTTTATAATCAGTCTCAATTAATATTTAGCCATGATTCAATCTGTTGCTTCAGATTAAATTCTTGGTTATGTTATGACATCTTAGTTGATCTTTACATTAAAAAGAAATAGTCAAAAAAATAAAAGAAAAAGAAAGAAAGATGACAAATTTCTATTTTTTTTTTAGTTTTTACAATCCATATAACTTATTTTCAAATATATACAAAAAACATGCTGTAAAGATTTTATTCAGGCTTGTAAATATGATAAATTTTTAATTAAAGTAAACGAATCAATTATATAAATAACTCAAAAGATCATGTATCAGTGAAATGGGTGTTTGTATGTTCCCAGGGCTGTCTCTGTACTCAGAAGTGCCTCGGCTACCAGCACAGTACAACTTGTTATCACAAGAGATGAAATAGCAAGGTTTGTGATTGGGCTTGTCTTGGGATATCATATTTATGACTTTTGAACTTCGTAATTTTGAGAGAGAGAGGAGATGGGGGGGGGGGGGGTAAACACACCATTTGCAAAAAAATGATTTAACAATATTATTAGGTATTGAAAAAAGAAATGCAAGGTAAATATCAAGTATCAATCCATCTTCACTGTTACTGGCCTCCTTGAAGATCGATACGCATTTGGGAAGCCCCCCTACGTTTTTTTGCACCCACGTGGTCAACAGCATAAAAATCATACATGTGCATTACAATAAGTTGTAAAAATCTTCACTATTGTTATGACGCATGCACAGCACAGACATCTCTTTGTAAGTGTTACAACACACACAAGAAACTTGGATTTTGATTTGCTATTTTTGATGCGTCGGATCACAGGACTATGTCTCATACCACATTTCTATGTAATGAAGTTGTGTTCTATTGTTCTTCAGGTCAGAGTACCTGGATCTTCTTGAGAATCAGAGTAGCTATTCTTACTCGACAGCTACCCACAGTGCTTCCTCATCCAGAGCCAATACACCTCTGATGACTGCAGGTAATATATGTTACAGTACTTACCCCATGTTACAGACCTGGAGAAACTGCCTGGAGAGCCGGTGTAACATGAAAATCTAACTCCCATGAAAATCTTGACTCCCCCTACAAAACTTCATAAATCTTATTTTATTTGAGTATATGACTAGTATGCATAATGGAGGATACATTGGCACTTTTTGTTAATTTGCAGGTTATGGTTAGTGTTAGGAGTCAAAGTTTCATGATGAAAATCTGACTGTAGAGTCGCCTTTTAGGGGAGTCAGATTTTCATGGTACACCAGCAAGATTTTTGATAGTGCAGGACCTCTGGATTGGCAAGGTTTATATGTAAATACAATACATAAAATAGGAATCATACGTAAACATTGACTAATGGACCTGCACAGAATTAGGAGGACCTGTAGATTTCTTGTAGGGCAGATCCTCAGGACCTTCAGAACCCCAAAAAATGTCTGATGTTAAGTATTTTTTTTTTCATGATAATATATAGAAAATTGCAACCCATAGGATAAAGTTTTACATAATAATTGTCATAAAAGAAATATACATAAACATGTTGCAGAATAATGTAAAAATAGAAATATAAACACTGCAGCAACGCACCTTAAAACATCTACGTAGAATGGTGTGAAATTTATAGAGCTTCTCAAATTTGCAGTCGATCATATTGTGAAGGTTTTTTTTATATATACAGTATTCAGCCATTTATATTAAGTGAAATGTTTTATTTGGATATAAATAAATTAGTTTTTCTTGACATCTTCATTTATTTTTTATTTTTTAAAAAGAATTCAGTGAAAAGAGGTCATGGGTACTTAAGGATGGTCAGATGACCCCTGTGAGTCAGAGTTCAAGGTCAAGGTCGACTAGTCCAGAGGAGCATGGGAGGAGTAGAGGGTATAATGTTGGAGATGGTGAGGAGGATGAAGAGGAGGAGGAGGTAGGATTTCCATATTGAAATGCTAAAGTATCTTTTTTGTATCCATATTGAAATCCTGAAGCATCTTTTTTTTGTATCAAAGATTGATGGAGTACAAAAGGATATGGTTTTGTAATGTATTATGTCATTCTTTGTGTTATGCTTTGTATTATTGTGTTCAGGGGTAATTTAGGATAGCCATCGTGTTTGCATTTGACCTGATACCTCTGGCTTGCAAAGATGGCAATAAACTTTCAGTTTTCAATTTCCTTTTCAAATGAATGAATAGCCTTGTTTGTTTATTGATGATTTAATGTTAAAAAGAGTTCAATACATATAAATTTGTATTAATTTTAAAGATTGATGTTCACCTGGTAGGGCATTTTTAGAAATGAATTCCTGTAGTAGTGTTGATCACAACATAAAGGAACAACTGCAACAATCCAGCAGTAAAGTACATTGCTCTGGTGTGTTGATTGAACCTCTAACACAATGAGCTTTCTTAAAAAAAAAGACTGACTTTAAATAATAGATTTAAATTTTATTACCTGATTTTGATTATTTATTGTATTATCATTTGTTTATTGATTATTTGATTTGATTTGATTTTGATTATGGTGTGTTTTGGTTAACATTCAGCATCATTGAAGTTGTTATAGACAATAATTATTATCTTGCTGCTTTGATGTAAGAAAGAAAAATTGAACCAAACATGAGAGTCACATCTTATAATTAATAGCAATAATATTTATTTTTTATATAGCATGATCTGTTTGTTTACATTTCAATGCACTCAACAATAAAATATAAAAAAATTCATAAGAACCACAGCTGCTGCACCAAATGCTGACTTACTTAAAAAGCTTAAAAACATGAATCCTAAAAAACTTATAAAAAGATTAGTTTTAGAGAGACTTAAGCATAAATCGTAATTACTTTCAGTGCAAGTATAAAATTTTTTTCAACACATTTTTTTATCTTCTTCCCACTAGGGGTACAAACAATGAAAACTTAGGATATTCATCCAAATCCCACTGTCTCTAGTGTTTTTTTCATGAGTTCATGCCAGAGTGCACTCTCTTTCTAGGAGACTGAGACTGAGAAGTCCGAGGGCTCTGAGGCAGGGAGTAACTCCCAGTCTGATACAGGCACAGAATCTCAGGGAGAGGAAGAAGGTGAGGAAGATGACGACACAGATTCTCAGGGAGAGCAGGAAGAGCAGGGTGTGGTAGAGCCTCCCAGACTTAATACACAAAGTGCATTGCCAAAAGTTCCCAATACATCATCGTTGCAGCGATCATTACAAGAACTGCCAGCGATGGCCTCGACACCACAAGGAAGCACAGGTATAGTAATGTGTGTGTGGGTTTGTGTAATATGCTTATGAAACCACTTTCTGAACCATACTTGTTAAAACCAGGTGGTACCTAGAGGTCAGCCCCTGCAAAAACTTGTCTCTTTTAACGCTCACTTACAATTCTCGATCTGTCCTAGAACAAAATGTTTTTCTCTTTTAATAAAAAATGATCTTAATAATGTTCTAACACATTCTGAAGGACTTCCCAAAAACAGTTCTCGAACTGTTACATCCATTACAGAACAGCATTAGAACTCTTAAAAAAAAAACAGCAAATGTTCTAGATAAGATTGAAAACTGTAAATGAACGGTAAATGAGACAAATTTTTGCAATGGAGGGTATTGCAGTTAATGGCTCAGTTTCTGTATTTAAAATTCTTATTCAATGATATATTTATTGAAAAATTTTTAAATGTGGCTTATGTGTTAGGATGGGTATCACTGTATGCATTGTTGTGTTCTCTTATTTATACACCATAATTTACACAAAATGAACCTTAACTCAATTTAATTCAAGCAATTAAGTAATAGTCACATAAGAGCATATATTAGTTATACACTTACATGTAGCATAAATTAATACCCTGATGTATTTACGTAACTTTGCCCCCCCCATCGAAAAAAAAACAAAAAAAAAAAAACAGCTTACATATTCAGGTATCAAGCTGTTAATCCTTGTCACAAGAAAGCACGTAGGAATTATAAAAAAGCATCTATTAGTTTAACACTTTCTGATAGCATAGAGACCATTCCCAGACCCTATTGTACTAACTTTGGATCGAACTATCTCCAAGGGGATTCTCGCTTAATTGCAATTAACTTAAAGGGCTTAGATACCTGTCACACCTACTATACACTGATAGGGGGGTAATGAACTGTGGTTTAGCAGCTACAGTAGCTGTCCCAGGAATCTAAGCCACTTAAAGGGATAATAACTCTTCGTATCAGATCTATATTTCACAATAAAAACCTTGTGAATAACTCATAGAAATATAATATATTCTGTTTTACCACAAAAACAGCAGTTATAGCTATTGTTCTGATATCTGAACTTGTCTCTAGACCACGTGACCTCCATTGATGTCTGTACTCTGTTAAAATCTCTTAAGAGATTTTAACAAAAAACCAAACTTTTTAGAAAAAAACCAGGGACTAACTTTGAATGTAAAAATGGATTCATTAACCATTGGTAAGTATGGGAAAATTGTTGTTTACTCCAGGAAAATTCATTTTTTGGCCGAAACGAAGAGTTATTATTGCTTTAAGCTGAAAGCAATTTAGCGAGAAACCCCATGGAATTGGACCGATCCTGTTAGATCGATCTAGGAATGGGAGCCCAATCATAAATTAGCACCTTGGTGTATTTTATGTAACTGTGACCCCCTGCCTTAAAAAAGATTACATATTCAGATACTGCACTGTTAATCCTTGTAACAAGGCAGGACTTCCTGGGCTTGTGATGATTTTGTGTTCTGTAATGGTATGCCTGTGTGTTCTGAGTTACACTTGTAGAACTTCCTGTAATTTTTTCACTGACCTTTCTGGCCTTCTACTGGTTTTATAAGTATTTTCTGGATTGCTGCCAAAGAAAGCCCTTTAAGACTTTGTTTTTGTAAGTCAACTGAAATAATGTACCATGTGCTGCACACAATATTTGGTTCACAATAATCCATGTTATGTATTTGCAGCATGTTATTGCCATTTAAAGCAGTCAGGCTTACAGCTAACAGAAAGCAATAGTTGTTATCTTTACATTAAATGCAGTAAAAAAAAAGGTGAAAACAAGAAAAGTAAAATGTGCATGTTTATATTAACCTCTATCAAAATGTCTTATGCCAAGTATTCTGTGAAGTACATTAGAAATGTCAGATTGCCTTTTGTCACACAATAATCTCCACAGGTGAGGTGGGCATTATCATTGAGATTACTATTAATTCTCTTCTGAAGACCATCAGATAAGCTCATGTGGAATTCATAGTTGGATAGTTAGAGTATGATCATTGATTAATTTGCAGGTGTCAGGAAAAAGGTGCTACAGTATTCAAGGAATTGGTTTCAAAGAGGTGAAAATCTCCCCCCCCC